CTTGCCGATGAGTTAGCTGCAGCCGGCAAACCTATCACAGAAATGAGCTTGTCTCTCACATCATCTCTGGCCTAGACATGGATTACCAACAAATCATCTCTGCCCTTGATGTTCACCCTGATGATGTTTCTGTAGATGAGCTCTTCGGCATGGTTGCTACCTTCGATCAGAGGGTGGAGATGTTCCAGGGCACGGGCGCCGGCGCCTTCAAGTCGTCGGCCAACGCCGCATCACGCGGCCGTGGAGGTGGCCCGCCCAAAGGCTACCGCGGCAACGGCGGCGGCGGCTCCCGTCGTGATGGACATGGCGGCGACGGCTACTACCCCAACGGTGGCGGCGGAGGCCACTACGGCGACAAAGGCAACCACTACGGGGGTGGTGGTGGCAGCCACTACTCCAACAACAGCGGCGGCGGCGGCTCCAACTACAACAACCATCACCAGGGAGGAGGCCGACCCTTCTACAACAACAATAGGGGCGGCCAAAACAACTACAACAACAACTTTCGTGGGTATGATGAGTATGAGGGCAAGTGTCAAATTTGTAAGAAAACTAATCACATAGCAAAAGAATGCAGGTGGCGATATGCTAAAGATAACTCACGCAAGAAGAAAATTGCTGCTGCGGCAAACACAAGCTATGGTGCAGATTCAAATTGGTATGTTGATTCTGGAGCCACCGACCACATCACCCATGAACTAGAGAAGGTCACCATGCATGAAAGATACAACGGGCATGATCAAGTCCATAATGCTGATGGTTCAGGTATGGAGATAAGCAATATTGGTCATTCAATTATTCATTCCCCGCATAGAGATATACATCTTAACAATATTCATCATTGTCCTAGTTCATCGAAACACCTTCTCTCTGTACATCGTATTGCTCTTGACAATCATGTTTTTCTAGAGTTTCACCCATTCTTTTTCTTGATCAAGGATCAGGTCACGAAGCAAATCCTTTACCGAGGTAGATGCGTTGATGGACTGTACCCTTTGATTCCCAAAGTTAGCAGATTCAATAAACAAGTGTGTAGTGCCATTAGACTCTCTATAGAGAGATGGCATGCCCGTTTGGGCCATCCTTCCTTTTCTATTGTCAAGCAAATTCTTAGCAAAAATAATCTCTCAGTTGTTGGAGAGCATAATTCTGAAACAGTGTGTGATTCTTGCTAAAGAGCTAAAAGTCATCAGTTGCCATATCCTGTCTCAACTAGTGTGTCTACTAAACCTTTACAACTCATATTCTCTGATGTATGGGGTCCTGCTCCTCTTTCTGTTGGTAGACATGCTTATTATGTTAGCTTTATCGATGACTTTAGCAAATATACGTGGATATACCTTCTTAAGAAAAGATGTGATGTGTTCCAAGTCTTCCAAAACTTTCAAGCACTTGTTGAAAGACAATTTAATAGCAAAATCCTTGCCGTCCAATCCGACTGGGGTGGTGAGTACGAAAAACTCAATTCCTTTTTTCAAAGGTTGGGAATATCTCACCATGTCTCCTGCCCCCACGCTCACCAGCAAAATGGCTCGGCAGAGCGCAAACACAGACACATTGTTGAGGTAGGCCTTGCTTTGCTTGCCGCTGCGTCCATGCCATTAAAGTTTTGGGATGAAGCCTTTCTCACAGCTGTGCATCTCATTAATATTCTACCCAGCCGTGTCATCAAAAATGAAACTCCCACCGAGCGTCTTTTGAATGTCAAACCAGATTATGCTCCACTACGTGTCTTTGGGTGTGCATGTTGGCCCAATCTCCGTCCATACAACAACCGTAAACTCATGTTTCGTTCGAAACAGTGTGTTTTTCTTGGCTATAGTACACAACATAAAGGAGTTAAGTGCTTAGATATCTCTATCGGTCGAGTGTATATCTCCCGGGATGTTGTCTTTGACGAAACCCAGTTTCCCTTTGCCACACTCCATCCCAATGCCGGTGCCCTTCTTCGCAAAGAAATTCTCCTTTTGCCCTCTAGTCTATACAATGGTGCAAATGGGGAAGAAAATAATTGTGATGATCAATATTTGCCTAACCCTCCTAACTTTATACCTAAGCTTTGTGTTTCAGCAATAAACAGTGAAAGAAATAGTGCAAATGGTGTTGAAAATGGTGTTCAAAATGGCACTACAGTGCAGCATTTTATGTGCACGGAATCCCCTGGAGGATCCTCATCGGGATTACCCCCCTCTGCCATGCAATCCGCCTCGGGATCCACCCAGGCGCCTGCTGTCGACGTCCCGCCTGTAGCGCCCCGATCCGCTTCGAGATCGGCGCCACCAGCTGGGCCATCGCCTGGCTCTCCCGCCTCTCCACGCGCGTGCCGGCCTAGCCAACCTGAGGGCTCCGCGTGCCGCCCCCCTGCGCCTGGGCCCTCCACTCCCGCGGTCTCCCCCGACCGTGAGACAACCGTGCCTGACCGCGACGTGGGCCTGGTCGCCTCGCTTCGTCCCGAGGCGTCTTCGGGATCGGGCGCTGTCAGCGCACCAGGATCTCCCTCGGGATCTGCTGCGGCTGATCCTCCTCAAGTGCCCGGATCTTCTGTGGCTCCTTTTTCTGCAGTCCGTTCTACACGAACCAGGCTGCAACAGGGAGTTATTAACAGAATTAATTACAAAATATTTCCAAGTATGGCCTCACGTGTTTGACAGGGGAATCCAGTGAACCAAAGTCGCTCGCTGCTGCTCTTGGAGACACTAGATGGAAACAAGCAATGCAGGAAGAAATATATGAGTTGCAACGTAACAAGACATGGCATTTAGTCCCTCATCGCCAAGGTATAAACCTTATTGATTGCAAATGGGTCTATCGAGTTAAAAGAAAATCTGATGGCACTATTGACCGCTACAAAACCCGCTTAGTTGCAAAGGGTTTCAAGCAACAGTATGGTATTGACTATGAGGACACGTTTAGTCCAGTCATCAAAACAGCAACTATTCGTCTTGTGCTCTCTATTGTTGTTTTCAGGGGATGGAGTCTTCGCCAGCTAGACGTACTGAACGCGTTTCTTCATGGTGTTCTGGAAGAAGAGGTGTATATGAAATAACCTCCTGGGTTTGCAGATCCAAATGCACCTTTCCATGTTTGTAAGCTTGACAAGGCTCTGTATGGACTCAAGCAAGCCCCCAGAGCTTGGTATTCTCGGTTGAGTATGAAGTTGCAAGCACTTGGGTTTATTCCATCAAAGTCTGACACTTCTCTGTTTATTTACAACAAGTTTCAAATTGCCATCTTTGTTCTCATTTATGTTGATGATATAATTGTGACTAGCTCGTCCAATGAAGCAATTACAGCATTACTCAGTGATCTTCGGTCAGAATTTGCTCTCAAAGATTTGGGAGACTTACATTATTTTCTAGGCATTGAAGTTAAGAAAACTGATCATGGCATTCATCTTTCTCAAGGAAAATATGCCACTGACTTGTTGAGCAGAGTTGGCATGCAGGATTGTAAACCATCACCGACCCCTCTGTCAAGTTCAGAAACACTGTCCCTCACAGAGGGAACACTCTTGAATCAGGATGACAGCACCAGTTATAGAAGTATAGTTGGTGCGCTTCAATACTTAACACTTACTCGTCCTGACATCTCATTTGCAGTCAACGAGGTTTGCCAGTTCTTGCATGCACCTACCACAGCTCACCGGACAGCAGCAAAACGCATCTTACGGTATGTCAAGAACACTGTTAGTATGGGCCTTTCCATCAACCGATCATCCTCCATGGGCATTAGTGCCTTCTCTGATGCGGATTGGACTGGCTGCTTGGATGATAGAAGGTCCACCGGGGAATTTGCAATTTTTCATGGCCCAAACTTAGTCTCTTGGTGTGCAAAGAAACAAGCCATTGTTTCTAGGTCTAGCACTGAAGCAGAATACAAAGCCCTGGCAAACGCTACAGCTGAAGTCATTTGGATCCAAGCAATACTGAAAGAGTTGGGAATATTAAGAACTCCAACACCTTGTCTTTGGTGTGATAATCTTGGTGCAACTTATTTGTCTGCTAATCCAGTTTTCTATGCCAGGACCAAATACATCGAGATAGATTTTCATTTTGTCAGGAACGAGTTGCCAACAAAGAATTAGAGATCGGGTTCATTTCATCCAAGGATCAAATTGCAGATGGGTTTACAAAGGCGCTACCAACTAGAAGCTTTGAAGATTTTCGGCGTAATCTCAACCTGGTTCGGTTTTGATTATGGGGAAGTGATGTTCCGGTTTTGATTATGGGGAAGTGTTAAACATCATGTCACGTTGGTTATGTTCCATATGTGCCATGTTTATCTTAGGTAGTTAGAGATAGAGTTTGTTTTAATTCTCTCTTATCTTTCTATCTCTTCTCCCTATTGTATCTCTCGATCGTTAGCTTACGATCGCACCCTGTAACGCCACGAGACGGCTCTCGACACATATCAATATATAACATGCGGCTCTTCCTGTATGGAGAGTAGAAACGCTTCCACAACTTTCCACATGCAAAACATATATTGGGAACAGAGGGAGTAATATAGTACTACCTCTGTACTCTAATGTAAGATGTTACTGCAAAAATATCTTGTACTCCCTCTGTAAACTAATATAAGAATGTTTAGATCACTAAAATAGTGTTCTAAACGCTCTTATATTAGTTTACGGAGGGAGTATTAGTGTACAGAGGTAGTAAGTTGCATAAACCAACAGACATATCCAGGGAATCTGAAACCTTGCAGTACTTCATTATTGACCGAACGGCGAGCCAAACTACTTCCAAATGGGAAACATTACCTTTTCTTTTTCAAGGTGATGTACTACTGGATAAATAAATGAACTTCAGTCTAGTTCTTTACATCATCCAAGCACACAAATCTGGCTCGAATCTGAATGCAAAGGAAGCAAAAGAACAGCGGTGGCAGCAGCGGCAGTAATCTCTCGATGTGGATCCTTCAGAACTTCAGAACAGCAGTCGTACGCTACTCAGACTCAACGTGCAACAAGGACCAAGAAGCTCCCCAGCACACTTCCATCACAAGAACTGAAAGTACTCGATGCATCTCGACTGGCCGATCGGCAGCAGTGTCCTCGACAGAGCATGGCCGCTAGCAGCGCCAGACGAAGCGCCTGTTCCGGCGAGACTGTCGGTCTCCATCTTGACTGGGGCATCGCCTGCCGACGGTGATGTGTCTGTCCACTGAAACTGGTGACCGTAAGCGCCTCTGTCGTTCTGTTGGTTGGTTGTGCTCGCTGGTGACTGCAGTGTGCCCGGCGACGTTAGGAATGTCGGCTGCTCGCCGGTGGCATGCGACCCGAAGCAGATGGACACCGCCCTCCTCGAGGACGACTGCTCAGTGGTGTCTGGGGCGCTGCCGATGGGCCTCGAGGTGGTGTTGCAGCTGTGATGGTTGAAGTAAGTGACCGTGAACAACGGTGGGTCGCTCATGTCCTTCTGCTGGACTTGTTTTGTCGCAGGGCACTTCAGGTCAGTCTTGTAGGTACATCTGTAGTAGAACCTGCAAATTGTACAACGCAGATTTGAGTTTCCAAGCCCGAAGGAAACAGAAGAAATCTTTGACAAAATATAGGCAGACAATAGTTGCATTCAAGAGCAAATGCATTTCCAGGACTAGTTAGGGAAGTATAGACATACAATAGGTGCATTCGAGAGCGCATACATTTGGCATGGCTTCTGTGGTGTAGTGTCCCATCTAATGACAGTGCAAGTAATTTTCTTTTTGAGGAAAGTACAAGTAAATTTTGACACCTTTCCTCTGCCAACTTGCCTTATTCTTCTTCACATTAGAGTACTTTAAGTAAGCAACTAAGCATACATGCACAGAGTAACATTACTTACAACATTCCTATAAAGAAGCACAATTGTTAAATCGTGTGCTTATTTTCAAC